CGCCGTCCCGTCCCGCTGCCGCCCCCACCGGGCCGGGGTGGGGGGTGCGCCGGGCCGTGGGCGCGGAGACTGGGGAGCTGCGGCCACCTTACCCTCTGTGGGCAGGCCAGCACGTGGTCTCGCTGCCGGCCCCGGCGCTGCCCATGCCATGGGGGCAGGGTGCCAGCCTCACTGCGGGCTCCTGGGTGACCTTGGGCAACTCGGCCAACCTCTCAGGGTCCCCACTTCCTGGATTCAGAGATAAGAAGCACGTGTGCGGTGTCCGTGCCAGGGGAAATCCTTCCTGCCAGGCGCTGACTTCCTTCTCCACGCTTCTGACTCTTCAGGGGTAGTTTGACAGCTGGATTCAGGGTGAGCGCCCAAGCACTTGGGAGCCAGGCTTCCAAGTCCCCCCTACATACACACACGTACCCCAGCCCCCAGAAGCATTGTGTTCATTTATGCCCAAAGCCTTCCTAAGGGATCTGCCTCCTGACTCCCAGCCTGGCCACCTGCCACAGTCTCACTGGAGCAAGCCTCCATGCCCTGTCGGTAAAAATGGGACGGGTGCCCTCTGTGTTCAGTCACCGAAGTCTTCTGGGTGCCACTTTAGCCAGTGGTAGTGAGGAAATGCCAAGGAGGGAAAGCGTTTCCCTTCAGCACCTCTGACAAATCCCCAAATCCTAGGAGACAATAATCCCAGAGTTGAACAAGGAGTCAAGGGGAGAAACAGTCTTTCTTCATTCAAATAGGGGGCAGAGGAGAGTAGAGGCCCACAGAGACTTGCAGGGTGTGTGTGTGTGTGTGTGTGTGTGTGTGTGTGTAATTCATCACTCAAGGACCACTGAGGCTGGCCAGGAGCCTGGCATACGAAGAAGCCCCATGGACAGTGATGGTTCTCCGAAAGCAAGATTGTCTTAAACAAAATATTGAGACCCTTTTGTGTAACTAACAGGATAATTTAAAAAATGTGACATTGATCATGATGCATTATACTCACAAATTGATGTGTTGAATTGAAACGCCTTTGTACAACTAAAGATAATTTTAGAAAATGAAAAAGATTATATATATATATATATATATATATATATATTGCATTAAAATTATCAAGCTGGGTGTCATTGGTTCCTGCCTGTAATCCTGGCTACTCAGGAGACTCTGATCTGAGGATCATGGTTTGTAGCCAGTCCAGGGAAGAAAATTCCATGAGATTCTTTTTTTGTGTGTGTGTGTCCAGTTGTGGGGCCTGAACTCTGGGCCTGGGCTCTGTCCCTCAGCTCTTCAGCTCAAGGCTAGCGCTCTACCACTTGAGCCACAGCGCCACTTCTGGCTTTTTTCTTTTTGCTTATGTGGTGCTGAGGAATCGAACCCAGGGCCTCAGGCATGCAAGGCAAGAGCTCTACCACTGAGCCACCTTCCCAACCCCTCCATAGGATTCTTTTTTTTTTTTTTTTGTCGGTTGTGTGGCTTGAACTCTGGGCCTGGGCGCTGTCCCTCAGCTCTTCAGCTCAAGGCTAGCTCTCTACCACTTGAGCCACAGCACCACTTCCGGCTTTTTCCGCTTACATGGTGCTGAGGAATCGAACCCAGGGCACTCTACCACTGAGCCACCTTCCCAGCCCCTCCATGAGATTCTTATTTCCAGTAAACTACAAAAAAAGAAAATAAGGCAAAAAGAAAAAGAAAAAAGCTCAGGGATAGTGCCTGGGCCCAGAGTTCAAGCCCCAGAACTACACACACACACACACACACACACACACACACACATACACACTATCAGTACATCTCAAGTGAGACCAAAGTTTTCATGGTTCAATCATTCATCCCAGAAACCTGAGCCATCTTCTCATTTTCTCTCTCCTTTGATCTTCCTGTCTCTCATCTTTCCTCAGGCTGCACCTGTCTTTCCTGTGGAAGAATTCTCCTCTCCTTTTTACTGTAATGTCTTTTCCTTCTCTTCCCATATCATTCTCTCATCTTACCCAACTTTCCTTTTATTTGTGCCTGTATCTCTCAACCCCTCTCATCTCCATACTCCTTTCCCTGGTGTGTCTATCTCTTGAATCTGTACCTGTTTTCACTCTCTAAAGAAACTGTAGTTTATTTCTCTAATGATAAATAAGATCCACTCTCCTATTTCCCCATACCAAAAGCTTTCTCACACACATGGATGCTCAGAGTCTGAACCTTCTTTGTCACTAATCTTGTCTCCTCATTCTCTACTCAGCCATGTGCTGCTCTCTAGAGAATCAATTCCCACTCTGTCATTTACATCAGTCTCTCTTTTCTTAGTTCTAATCATACTGTTTCTGGTCTTCTAACTGGTCTCTTTCTGTTCAGCCAGCCCTCCTCACAAATATCACCTTAGTTTTCCTTATATAGATCCCCAAGATTTCTCTTTCCCTACACCACAAATGCTCCTGTAAGGCAAAGTAGTTTCCCAGAGATATCTATGTGTGAATCCTCAAAACCTGTGAATATGTTACCATACATGGCAAAAGAAACTCTTCAAATGTGTTAAGGATCTGAGACAGAATATTGTCTATTATTTAGGTTGGCCTTTAAAAAAAGGGAAGAAGAAGAAGAAGAAGAAGAAGAAGAAGAAGAAGAAGAAGAAGAAGAAGAAGAAGAAGAAGAAGAGGAGGAGAAGAAGAAGAAGAGGAGGAGGATGAGGAGGAAAGAGGAGGAGGAGGAGGAAAGAGGAGGAGGAAAGAGGAGGAGGAGGAGGAAGAGGAGGAGGAAGAGGAGGAGGAGGAAGAGGAGGAGGAAGAGGAGGAGGAAGAGGAGGAGGAGGAGGAAGAAGAAGAAGAAGCTGGACACTAGTGGATCAAACCTGTAATCCTAGTTAGTATTCAAGAGGCTGAGATCTGAGGTTTGTTATTCAAAGCCAGCTTGGGCAGAAAATTCCCCATGAGACTCTTATCTCCAATTAACCTCTCAAAAACCAGAAGTGGGGCTGTGGCTCCAAGTGGTAGAGTGCTAGCGTTGAGCAAAAGAACTCAGAGACAGTGCCAAGGCACTGAGTTCCAGCCACACAACCTACCTGCCCGCCCCCAGCCCCCCCCACACACAAGTAGAAAAAATCAAAATGGTAGGACACAAGAAGGATTTGACCAGCTGTCACAGGCTTTCAAGATGGAAGAAGGATGGATTTTCACTGATGGATCCTCAGCCAAAAATACAGACAATACTTAGAAGGGAAAAGAAACAGATTTTCCCTAAAGTAGTCAGAAAGGATTACAGCCCAGGTGATTCGCTGATTTTAACAGTGAGATCAGTGTCAGATTTTTAATTTGAATGAGGCAAGTATGCAGGACAAGATGGTAGAGCTATCAAAAATACCTGAAAGCAAGGCAGAATCAGGAGCTAAAAGAAATTACTGAGAGATGTAAATGTTTCATGTATGAATAAAATGTCACACTATAACAGTGCCCATTCCATTACAAGTTGCCCTTGGCAAAATAACTTTGGCTTTCCATCCTAAATTCTAAACAGTAAAGCAACACCAAAATGATATCGAGTGACTTTAATATATCGATATCGACTTTCTTTAAATACATTTCCTTAAATTATTTTTTTTCAAGAAAGTACATGCATCTCACACATCCTTTGTTTAGATCCAGATTGGCAATTTTAATAGATGAGTAATTTAGAGAATAGAAGGTAATTCTTTGACCAGAAAGAATTAAATGTCACAAGACCCTTGGTTATAAAGCTACTTTAAGCACATTGTCTCCATATTTGGATTTAAAATTACCAGATGATTTTAAACTAGATTTCCCTCCTTAATCTAGAAAGAAGAAATATAACTGGGTTGATGACCACTATTTTGAGTCACTTTAAACTCCCTCCCTCTGTATCTCAGAAAGTGTTCCTTTCCTTTTTTTCTATTTCTTCCTGCTCTGCTCTGCTTTACTAAGTATACCTCTGCTAAATCTCCACTTTTCATGAGTCCTTCTTGTGTGAAACTCCTCAGAATAATTTTGGTCATAGATTTCAAATTCTCATTTCAGTGATATAGAGTGTTGTGAGATAATAAATTTGTATTCATTTCAGTCATCAAGTAATTTTAAACCTCAGCAACACATTTCACTTTTAGTTACATAGTTTACTTTTGGAGGATCCAGTGCTTTATCTTGGTGTTAACAGTGACCAGACTTTCAGCTGTCTTAGCTGTACCCAAACCTCTCAGACCTCTTTTCTCCTAAATGTGAGCCAGTGCTCACAATACCCTCTCCTCTAGAAAGTCCCCTCTTAAATGATGCCAGCACAATCATTTCTCAACAACCATTAATTCCTTGGAGTTGCTTCTAATCTCTCCTTCCTTTGGTTTCCCAGAACCCTTTGTTTTTATTTCTCACATGTCCACTTTAAGTAAAATTCTCTAATGGGAGAGAAGAATAAGAGGACTTTAAATGAACAGATTAAAAGTGCTCTTGGCTCTCTGCATAATGTCTCAGTGCTTCTACTGAAGCTGTGACCACCACAGTCCTGTCTGTGCATTACAATGGGTCTGCAGGCCCATGAATTGCATCTCAAAGATGAAGCCTAATGTCACCTCTCTTTAGATCCCCACACCCCCATGCCAGACACACAGTAGGAATTCCCTATGTGTTTTTGAATAAATGGATGGATAGAGTAGGTACAAGTTCTGGTTGTATTGAACACACATGGTTATCAATACTGATGTTTTTCTTGCATCATCATTTCTATTTATTTGAGCTGGTTAAGAGAAACATTTCATCTGGTGTAATGTGGTTTTCTATGAGGATGTTTTCATGTATACCTTGAAGCACAGATGTTTTTGTTTGCTTCTTCTGGTTTTGCTGAAGAAGAAATTGATGATAAAGGGCTGTATTGATATCTACTGTTACTGGGAGTAAAAATATTCATTATAAACTTGTAGATTCTTGGCCCAGCAAAAATTCTGTTCCTTGAACTATATCTTAATGTAATGATCATTTTTATATAAAGATTAAACTAGAAGAAATTTCATTAGGATATTTTATAGTAATGAATAATAAGGAAGACTTTAAGTGGATACCAATGAACTAGTATGTACATAAACTATAACTATCTTTGGTAAGACACCATTCAGGTACAAAACACGAGTGTGTTAGTTGATATTTACTCTACAGAATGATATTTATAAATGTTTACATTCTTTTTATGCTCATAAAGTTTAAACTCTTACGCAATAAGCATATTTAAGAGTTAGTTTCAATTTATATAGATGGCAAAGCTTT